TCACGCATGCGAGGAACGCTTGGTGGGATCGGTCTATTGCACTCTGTAGGGGCATTTCGATGCGCGTGTATTCCTTAAGCGCGTGCTTACCGAACCAGCCCAACCTTTCATGCCCCTTCATGGTGAGCCTGCAAGGGTTCATTGCAAAAAGAAACAAAAAAAAAACACACTAATTTGAGTTTTTTTTGTTATGAATCATCACGTGTTGATGAAAGGATCTGTCGATAAAACGTTGTTCGATGAACTGATTGCACCGCCAATGAGGGGCGACTACCGGTAGAATTTTGGGGGAAAAAATCTTCCAGCTGCCAGGAGATTGAACACTACCCAAGAATTACCCAGGTTGTTGTCTGCTTTGCAATCTTCTCAGTTGTATAACAACTGAGTAGTACCTCTTCACGTATTACAAATTGCTTAGTTTGTACTTGTCTACAGAATAGGCTGTGTGTAACAAACTTTTAGAATATTTTAAAACAATCCCTTGTGTCTGTGTACCTTTTTTTGCAAACAATTAATGGGACACTTGGAAACACCAGGGCGAGTGCAACGATGGCCAGAAATCAGCACCAATAAAGGCCAACATTACATCGGGTAGCGCTTCCAGTATTGTCCAATATTACGGCGGTCTTTGCCAATGTGGGACCACCATTGGCTGGAGCCATGGTTTAGCAATGGCCCAACATTGGCTGGGACGATGGCTGAACAGTGGCCCAACATTGGCACCAATGACTGGGCTAGCGTTGGATAGGGTAGCGCTTCCAATATTCTCCAATATTAGGGCCGGTCTTTGTCGACGTTAGGACAATGTCGGACCAACATTGGTGTGATGCCTGGGTAGTAACGACGGCGTCCGCCCAGACCCCAGGAAGACTCGCGCCGTTGCGCATTTCCAGAGCCTTCAGACAAGAAGGCCAAGCGAAGATTTTTTGAACTTTGTGCCTACCATCAACGCGTCGTTCGGGATTTCGCAGAATTTCCGCACCGCTCAAAAAACTAACGAAGGACGCCGAGAAGTTCGAATGGGCTGAGGAGCAGCAGCACGCATTCGACGAACTGAAGCAACGACTCCAGACTCCTCCTGTTCTTGGACACTTCGATCAAGATGCGGAAACCGAGATTCATACGGACGCAAGCAACGGAGGTCTTGGCGCGGTACTGGCTCAAGTGCAAGGAGGCACCGAGCGGCTCATCGCCTACACAAGTCGTCAAATGTCCAAAGCGGAGAGACATTACTACACGGCTGAAGAGGAATGTCTTACGGCCGTCTGGGCAATCACGGAGTTTCGCCCTTATTTATAAGGGAGCCCTTTTCGCGTTGTCACGGACCACCTCTCACTCTGCTGGCTTGCGAAGCTAAAGAACCCGTCAGGACGTCTAGCTCGATGGAGCCTCCGACTGCAGGAGTTCAACATGACTGTGGTCTACAAGTCAGGCCGCAGGCACAGTAACGCCGATTGCCTGTTTAGAACCCCTGTCGAGACAATTTCCGGTAGCAGTGACGACGATGATGACGAGTGCTTCCTAGGTACGGTGAACACCGACGACATGGTGCGACGTCCAAGAGACGATCATGAGTTGCGCGCGCTTATCTAACACCTCGAAGGATGAAGGGGTACAATCCCCCGTGTCTTCTTGAGAGTCCTGCCAAGCTTCGTCCTCCGACAAGGTGTACTTTGCAAGGAGAACTTTTGAGACAACAGCTCGTCATGGCTGCTAGTAGTCCCTGTTGACCCTAGAGAGGAGATCTTCCAAGATTGCCACAACGACCCAACGGCTGGGCATCATAACTAGAGCAGGACGCTCGCCAGGATTCGGGAAAAATACTGCTGGCCAAGGCTACCGAAGGCCGTTCACCTCTACACTGATCACGACACGATTGTCAGCGACGCCAGAAATCACCGACGAAGCCGTCAGGGCTTCTGCACCCGATTGCTCCTCCATCCACGCCGTTCCAGCAGATCGGAACGGATTTCCTTGTCCTTTTCCCGCCGTCAACATCCGGAAACCGCTAGATAATCGTCGCCACAGATTATCTCATGCGATAAGCTGAAACGAAAGCCTTTCCATCAGGAACTGCTGTCGAAGTCGCCAAGTGTTTTCATCGAGTCTATTGTCCTCCGGCACGGCAACCCCCAAGTCCTCATTACAGACCGTGAATCATAGTTCATGACTCAGCTGTCACAAGAAATAATTCGACTCAGTAGCACCAGCCACAGTCGAACGACTGCGTACCATCCGCAGACAAATGGACTTACGGAACGACTAAACAAAACTATCGCCGACATGATCTTCATGTATGCCGACGTAGAGCACAAGACGTGGAACGAGGTGTTACCCTACGGCACGTTTGCTTAAAACACGGCAGTGCAAGGTACCACAGGAGTAACCCCGTTTCAGTCGGTGCATGGCAGAAGAGTAACGACCATGCTGGATGCGATGCTACCCTACGAACCAGCTAACGAGGGGATTGCCGATGCCCAGGTGGTTGCTCAACGAGCTGCATAAGTTCGCCAACTCGCGTGACTCCAATCCAAGATCAGCCAACGTGTAGACGCCACACGGTACAACCTTCACTGGATCGACGTTCGCTTCAATCCCGGAGACCGTGTGTGAGCGTGAACACCGATTGGCCGCCGTGGTCTCAGCGAGAAACTCCTGAAGCGCTACTTCGGACTTTACGAAATGCTTCGTCGACTTGGGAATCTGAACTACGAGATGATGCCCGATGGAACAAGAACATCATCCTGCCGCCCACCACCACCTAAAGTTTTCTACGTCGTGCGCCTGAAGCCGTACTACGCTCGATAGGACTGTGGACCTTATGTGTTCCGAAGGACTCTTCAGTTCGCCGTTATTTTTATTTACTATGTATTGTTTTGTGTTGCATCGGGGTGATAAAGAGCGTGGCCGTGGCCTGACTGTTATCGTGTTTGCCTCCCACGCGAAAGAGTCAGGGTTCGATTCCTGGGAGTGACGTGCCTTTTACTCATTCTTGCAATTTCGCTTTTTTTTTTTTTTGGTAAATTCGACAATCCTGTTGGCTTTTTGAGGTCCGAATGTTCTCCGTGCCGAACCTTCTACGCCGATTGTTCCGGAATCCCACGCGCGTAGATACGGGGCTTCGCGTGTCGAGGCGGAGTCGGTCTCGCCCCAGCGTACGCCGTCATCGACGCCCGCGACGCTCTGCTGTTATTTTCTGTTTCCATATTGTTTTGGGCACAAGTTCGCACCATTAAACGTTTAGTTCCCTCAGTTACCATCGCCTCATCAATTGTCATTCGTGACAATATGCTATTAGTAAAATTCCAATCTCAAAATCCTTCGTCCCAGCCCAAAACTCGTTTCAGGGACTCTGTAAATTGTGAAACGGAGTATAGGTATTTTGTGAGATACAGGCCTACCATCAAAGCCACCAAAAATTATTAATTAACTTTCACGTACCAGTCTGAATTAAATAATGTATAAGCAATTTCGTAAAAACGGCAGTGCACGTAAATCTGCTAAAAAAGTAGGAAAGTAATTGGAGAAACTTATCCTATTACTAGTCGATGTTCCTTTCTCCTAAATAAAATGCTGCACCATGTTTTGACGTTAAGAAACACCGAAATATAGATTAACTCGAACGAGCTGAAGAAAAATTTATGGTCTCTTTCCAGCGTCGTCGGAACTTTTCAGTGTTTGCTGTTTTTCTCGTGTTGAGTGTAAATATATCGTAACGGTACGACATATACACTTGAGTTTATATTATACATGTGGCTTCAATATTGCATAAAAATATGGAGCTTTAGATCAAAATATTCCCAAAGTCATGCATGAAAATTTCGCAAGAAAGAGTCCAGCGGCCAAGGATTAGAAAATTTTGAAAAAATGTTGAGCAATTATTGAGATCAATCTTATTTTATACGAACTTATACATGTATCCGCAGATCATTTACAGAGTTATTCAACCTCTCATTGCTGGAAGCATTCATTAGGAAAAATCCCTAAAACGGCGGTGTGCGCGAACGCGAGCGGTTCCCCCCTCATTGTCTGCAATTTTATGTTTTCGTAAACATTTTTTTCTGTAAAAAGTAATAGTGGATTCGTTTCTACTATACATTACGCAATTACATATAAGACATGAAGGTAAGTGAAATTGTGAAGCAGCCATGCTTTGTTCAATCTAAACTGCTATCACAGGCGTAGACTACAAACCACTTCAGCTTGACACAACCCGCAATTGTTAAAATACGCTCGTTGATGTGTGGGAACTTTTTTCCGAATTTGGAATGTCCACAATAATTTTACTGACAGTCGAATTTTGGCTCAATTCCCAAAGGCACGCCTGAAGAATTTAGAGCCGACGTAAGGGTACGTTTATACTCCAACGTAACGTCAACGGGCGCGACGTAGCTCAGCCCGCACAGATACTGATTGGTCGCAGATATCGAGTTCCTGGTGGCCGGACAATGAAAGGCGCGCGTTCTGCGCTACGTTGCGTTCACTGCGCTCAACGTCGGAGTATAAACAGCTTTTCAGGATAGAGATAGAGAAGTAAGGCAGTTTTGAAGTAAGGAAGTCTATGACGGAAGGCCTCCGAAGGTGTGACTTTTGAGCTCTAATGTTGCCGGAGCGCAATGCGCTCCTGCAGCCTTTACAAACTCCGGATCCTCTGTTTATAGTGGCGTGATTCTACTATTTCTCCAGTGCTGGGCCATACGCAAAGCCATTTGTGCAAAGGTCCGCCTGGAAGCACCACTTTGGGGCGGCAGTTGCAATGAAGGTTTTTCTCAATACTTTGATTTCAGGTTCTAATTAGAAGCATCAATAGAGCGTCATAACATTCCTCTAACCATATGATATTTATTAAATTATTCAGTTTCTGTAAAACAACACAATGAAAGCGCTAATCAGGTTACTTCTTGTCTGTGTGTATTCAAACTACGAGTTTGTAAATTGTCTAAACTACAAACCAAAGTGCAAGCAAGTTGCAAACTACAGCAGTGTAAAAAAGTGGCCAGTGTTCATTTTATTACATGTCGGAGCTGTCACACACATTTTTTCCCACCGCAATACTGACGTTTTCATACCGTACGCAAATAACGGACTGGCGAGGTCTTGTATCTTGAGATTTTTGCTTTCGTCGTCTGCATACAGTCATCAAGAAAACGTCTAGCTATTGCGCCAACATGTTCTCTTGTTTTTCCGAGCGCCAATGCCCGATATTGATGTCTGGTAGACTTGAGCACTTCACCTTCGGATTTCTGGGAGAAATACAAAAAAAAACAGGTGATATTACTTACTTTTCACTCATGCTTCTGAAACCGTAAGCACGATAACAGAAGTAGACAATTCAGGGACGAAATTGTTTCAAGACACATCAATTCCTGCAACTCTGAGTCCAGAATTGCCCTTTAGGCACAATTTATTGACATATCGCTTTAGTCGGGTGCCGTCACCGTGTCCCCTGCACCTAATTATCAATTCTCCGCCAACGAGATTGCGGCACGAGATAATACCGAAGAACGAATTCTGGAGCAATGAGCAAGAACGAACAACCCACGCCTCCTTTTCTTGAGCTGTCGATGAAACTAATCCACCTATCTAGAGACGGGGACTATACTTCGTTTCAGCTTCGGTCCGAGCGCAGCCTATGTTATGAGTCTAAGGGCCAATCAAACAGCCAAAGAGGCACAACGTCATAGCGTTGTGCCTCTTTCGCTGCAGTTGATAGGACTAGCCGGTATTCCCCGTCTCTCTGTGCACTGCTCCTCCGCCGGCTAGTCCTATCAAGCGCAGAGAGCACTCCATGACGCTGCGCTGTTTGCGCTTTTCGATTGGCCCTTCGGCTCATAATATCGGCCGCGCTCGGACATAAGGTGAAACGAAGTATAGCAGCTTCACGCTCCGAGTGCCGCAGAGTCGGCATTTGGGCACGATTTCGTTCGCTCTTTAAATTACCTGAATGATGAAAAGGAACCCAATGATTAGTTTTCACAGTGCATTGAGTTTTCTTGCACGAACCTTCAGTACAACCTGGTCAGCCAAGAACATGGAATGCCGCCGGAGCTCCCTCAAACTCTAGCAATCAGATGCTTTCTATAGGTTTACTCACTGCGGGCCCTCCGGTACGAATGGGTTTCTCTGTACGGCGGTGATGCTCCTGCTGTTTGCGCAGATGATCTTGGCGAACGTCGTATTCCTCAGTGAGTCCAGTTGAGCTGTGTATAATATATTGTCCAAGTTACAACTGCAATCGCTACATCAGTTGTAAGCCTTTGGGTTCTGATATTTTGGAAAGCTCCTCTTTTTTATACTGTACCGACATGAACTCGAAGAATTAATCGTCGGTGCTTTTTTGACCAGTTCAGCCTATGAGATGGCAGAGAATAAGTCTATCATCATGATTTTTCAGAAGGTTACCAAAAGGTACAAACCTTTTGGTCAGTGAAACTGCATTATAATTAAAGCCTGACACCTTTCTCCATTCGGTTGACAAAGCTGATTTAAAGATGAACAATACTGAGGCTTCTAAGCTCATCGCGGTGCAGACACTCAGGTATCTATGACAGTGTTCCTTAAAAGTATTATGCCTTCGCTCCTTGCGGGTGGAACCCTGATGTGTATATACCACATTAAAAAAAAGGCTCTGGGAGGCCCACTGGGATTTCATCAAAGGTCTCAATCTCCCCTTCAGTGTGTTCTAATAGTTTCTATAAGTCCTTCAAAACTTTAATTACTCTTTGTAGGCTTGGTCTCGGCGTTCTTCGAAAAAAGGCATTTTACCGTTCAAGGGTTTTGTCAAAGGTTTATGGGAGAGAGTTAGTTACCCTTCGGTTCAAAAGCTACGTGAATAAAAATAAAATAAACACTAAGGCTACAAGCTCGAGCAAGTAACTTTCACTTGTGATCCGTCTGCACCAGAATTTCTGTGGCCAAGTTGGGATTAAGCGCAAGGAACTTCTGGTCCAAGGCCGCCGCACTGGCCCCCGAGGCGAAATGGCGGCCTACGAATCCCCCATTGCTCGGTTGGAATCCGGCCGAAATTCCTGCGGAAAAAGCGCTGCGTAAACGAGATTTTTGCTCCTCGTATAGACATGTCCAGGCGGTCGAAATGAATTCGCAGTCCTATGCTGAGGAATGCCAGGTGTCCAGACACACACTTTCAAAGCAACGAGGCCGTAGTGGTGGCTTTTCAGCACCGCATTCGGGAGGCCAGTGCGGTACAGAGATTGGCCACGAGCAGTTCGGTTAGTGTTCAGCTAGAACGTGTGTCCTCATTAAGTGCACACGAGTCCCAGACGAACGACGACGAAGCAATATTGTTCAACCTGTTCCCCATACTAGTTTCTGTTAGTTGACGTAAAAGATTCAGAACTACAACGTGGTTTGGTAGTAGTTCTGTTAGGCTGTCTATTGTCTGCGCTGTGTCACTGCGCACGAGGAAACGTCATGCTCAGTGCCCCACTACACTTTATACGCCTCGTCATTCGTCGAGCTCCTTTCGTAGATTGGAGCGTTTGGATCTTCAAGTGCTTTGGGGAAAAGCTGACGTTCCAGGTTTCTCAGAGTGTTGATTTGGAACGCAAAACGCCAACTTTGCCTTTAGCTATAGCAGGGTTGCCTGGCATGAGCCCGCTTACCGAGGTGCACATTAGCAGGTGCGGCAAGGTAAAGATGGAGAAGCAAGCAACGCACCGCAAGAGCGGCAAAGGTGGTCGCAGCAAGAAGAAGGGATGCAAGGGACGTGGCTGGACAACGAAATCGCCGGCATAGCAGCGACAGGAAGCCAGTACACATTACAGAGAGGCCGACCGGCAGTTCAAGCTCCAGTTAGCGAACGATCCCTTCGGTGCGGTTTTTTAACGTGCGCAGCACAGTGTGCTTTCTAACGGACGTGAAAAAATGCATTCTAAATGCAATTCGCTCGGAACGCGTTTGCCAAATTACGAATTGACCGCAAACTTATTCCACGGTTTAAAATCGACGATTCCTGTCTATTTGTTTAACGGCCTGCAGCGTTAAGATTACTATACCTGACGTGAACGATCCTGCCTGGTCCGCATGTTCGAAGTAGAATCGATCACCCCACTTCATCCTTTGGAACAATTTAAGAGTGATGCAGTGCACCGTGGCGCTAGCGATGGTTCCTTCAACGACGTACTCCGAAATGGCTCCAGAATACAAATCAATGTCACTGACGTTTCTGAGGGATGAAAACAAGCAGATTGGTCTTGTTTTAGTTTGAACAAGACCTTTGAAGTCACTCAAATGCGTGCTGCCAACAGTGCCACAGTTTATAGTAAAACTTGCATTACTATACCGTTGAGTCGTTCGCAAACGTTTAAACATAACACTTCATGGTAGGACTTCTTTTATTTGGAGATGTAGAAATGACATGAGTTCCGTAATCAAATTTATGGGAGTAAAGAGAACGGATAGGAAGTATAAAGTTAAAGTAGAGAGATGCAACGGACTGCATTGCTTCTGTCGCGCTTGTTATCGCTGCGTATAGACACAAGCGGGAAGTGTTGCATATACAGTAGATGTCCAAATGTCACTAGATATCACCTTCGCTCGCGTGCACCGTTGCCAGCACATAAACCGAAATGGTGGTTATTAGTCATCGCAGTAATTAATTTAAATAGTAACATACAATAGCACGCACTGGCGAGCATACTCATGTTCATAATAGAATCCTACAAAATAATCACAGCACCAACCTTAGATAACCTAACCCTACTGAAAAAAACCATTTGTCGCCTATATGAAAATAAACGGGTTCATACTGGTAACAGTTTAACCATACCGGTCACCAGTTTGTCAAAGGGGTCGCCCTTGTGGCTCAAAGGGGTCACCCGTATGAGCCATAATGGTCACCTATTTGGACAAACAGGTCACTCCTTTGGCAAACGGGTCGCTCGTCTGGGCAAATGGGTCGCTCGTTTGGGCAAGTGGGTGACTCGTTTGGGCAAAGTTGTCGAACGTTTGCTCAAACCGGTGACCATGTTGCAAACTGCACCGGTTTAATCAAACGGCTCTCCGGAGCCCGTTAGATACTGAACGTACAGATCGGCGGCGTGGGCACGCCTAGCGTTTCAGCCGTGGCAGCCAATGTTTCCGGAAGGCTGGGAGCGCCGGTTCATCGCTTTCAGATCGTCCGCGTAATGCAAGTAATTATATTTATATTTCAATTGCGCTGATGTTCGCTTATACTGCAACTAAAACTAACATCTTTTTTCTTGTTGTTTTACGTAAACGCGCGATGTTGGTAAGCCAATATTTTTGACAGAACTTTAAAACTTTGTCCACCTTTGTTGCCTCAATTTACTTATACAGCTCGAATCTCTCTCGCAGACGACGCGACCGCGTGAAAGAATGTACGTCTAGACTCCGTTTCACTTTAATTCAAGACGCAGCGAAGGTAGCACGCGTACACGCGGCTGCAAGAACATCGAGCATTGCGAGAGCACGCCCGCCGTGGCAGCAGTTAAACTACGAGCTCGCACTGAGTACTTTCTTCGCTCGGGCGCAAGCCGAGCTTCTGGCCGCCCCGCCGCCATTTCCAAGGTGCGAGCGTGCTAAAATGCGCGCGCGCGTGTTTTTTTTTTTTTTCGAGGTTACAAAAACACATCTTTCTGGAATGCCTGGGGAGAGGGAGAGGGGCTGTCGCTGCGGTCCTCGCCCCCTCCCTCCTCTCTTGTCACCCGTCACGTGACCCGCACCCGCGCGCGAGCTACACGCTAATAAGCATCGAGATCCGGAAGGGTGCGCCTAGCAGCCGCTTTTTTCTTTGTCTGCTTGTTGTCAGTTCCAGCTCGAACTTAGCGCGTCCACCTGCTTCGATCTGTCGCCTAACCCTGCGGTCTTATTAGGATGTCTCTCAACAACGTATTGGATGTGCACCAAAGCTATCAGTGTTCGAAAAGTCCTACGTCTACATCGGCAAGAAGCGATTCTTCAAAGAAGTCAGGAATTCTTGCGGTTTGGTTGGGTTCGGCAACTGACACTTGTGCGCCACTTCGTGTTGAAACTTCCAAGAAGCTGTTCCCTCTCATTTGTGTTTGTGTGGTTGTCCTGCTTTGACCGTGTTGACAACTATTACGGATTACATCTTTCAACTCCGCTATTTTTATGGTAAGTGCACTGCAACCTACTTCTTGGCAACGATTGACCGTTCTTCTACTCGTACTCTTCCAGATTATTTATATAATTATGCAGCCACTATTCTCGCGGCAGCCGGGCGAATAATTTCCCGAAAGTCTACCTTCATAGTCTAGAATTACCTCGGTTCTTGTTTGGTTTGCTATCTTCTCAGTTGTATAAAAGCTTAGAGTGCCTCTCACATTTCACAGATCGCTTGCACGTTTGTACTTGTCTACAGAAGACGTAATAAACTTTGAGGAGAATTGAAAACGATCTTTTGTGTCTGCTTTACTGTCCATTTGCAAGCACCCCCTACTGAAAAAAACCATTTGAAATTCAAACGGGTGGCAAACTGGTCGCCCGTTTGAATCAAACTTGTCGATCAGTTTGGATCAAACGTGATTATGGGATACGGGTACCCGTTTGGAAACGGTACCCGTTCGAAACGGTACCCGTTTAATACAGGTGCCCGTTTGATACGGGTGCCGTATGGTACGAGTACCCGTTCGACATGGCACGTGACCACACGTTTGAACGTGCCATCCGAATTGGCAAATTATGCGCTAGCCCTAAATGGGTATCGTCTGGGAGGTTGGTTATCTTAAACATATTTAAGACGTCCTGAAACTCATAAACGTATTTATAACATGGAGAAAACACGTAGAACAAATGCACTCGCGTAGGTGCTTGTAAGTGGACAGGAAAGCCGACACAAAAGATTGTTTTCAATTCTCCTTGAAGTTTATTACCTCTTCTGTAGACAAGTACCAACGTGCAAGCGATCTGTGAACACTATACAGGTAGACTTTCGGGGAAATTATTCTCCTGGCTGCCGCGCGAATAGGCGCTGCATAATTCTTTAGATAATCTAGAAGAATACGCGTAGAAGAACGGTCAATCGTTGCCAACTCGTAGGTTGCAGTGCACTTACCATAACAATAGCGGACTTTAAAGATGTAATCCGTGATATTTGTCGACACGGTCAAAGCAGGACAACCACACAAACACAAACGAGAGGGAACGGCTCCTTGGAAGTTTCAACACGATGCGGCGCACATGCTGTCATTTGCCGAGCCCAACAAAACCGCGAGAATTTGCGACTTCTTTGAAGAATCGCTCGTTGCCGACATACACGTGGGTCTTTTCGAACACTGAAAGCTTTGGTGCACATCCAATACGTTGTCGAGAGACATCCCAATAAGACCGCAGGGTTAGGAGACAGATTGAAGCAGGTAGGACGAGCGAACTTCGAGCAGCAACTGACAACAAGCAGACGAAGAAAAAAGCGGCTGCAAGGCGCGCCCTTCCGGATCTCGATGCTTATCAGCGTGTAGCTCGCGCGCTGCTGTGGGTCACGTGACAGGGGTGACAAGACAGGAGGGAGGGGGCGAGGTCAAGGCGCTGGGACCACCGGGACAGCCCCTCTACCTCTCCCCAGGCATTCCAGGGAGATGCGTTTTTGTAGTCCCAAAGGACAAACGCGCGCGCGCGCGCGCGCGCGCTTGAACTTTGGAAATGGCGGCGGGGCGGCCAGAAGCTCGGCTTGCGCCCGAGCGAAGAAAGTACGCAGCGCAAGCTCGTAGTTTGAGTGCTGCAACGGCGGGCGTGCTCTCGCAATGCTCGATGTTCTTGCAGCCGCGTGTACGCGTGCTACCTTCCCTGCGTCTTGAATTAAAGTGAAACGGAGTCTAGACGTACATTCCTTCACGCGGTCGCGTCTTCTGCGAGAGAGATTCGAGCTGAATAAGTAAATTGAGGCAACAAAGATGGACAAAGTATTAAAGGTCTGTCGAAAATATCGGCTCAACAACGTCGCGCGTTTAAGTAAAACAAAAAAAAAAAGGTGCTATAGTTTTAGTTGCAGTATAATCGAAAATCAGCGCAATTGAAATATAAATATAATTACTTGCATTACGCGGACGATCTGAAATCGATGAACCGGCGCTCCCAGCCTTCCGGAAAACATTGGCTGCCACGGCTGAAACGCTAGGCGTGCCCACGCCGCCGATCTGTACGTTCAATATCAAACGGGCTCCGGAGAGCCGTTTGATTAAACCGGTGCAGTTTGCAACATGGTCGCCGGTTTGAGCAAACGTGCGACAACTTTGCCCAAACGAGTCGCCCATTTGCCCAGACGAGTGACCCGTTTGCCAAATAGGTGACCGTTATGGCTCATACGGGGGACCCCTTTGAGCCATACGGGCGACCCCTTTGACAAACTGGTGACCAGTATGGTTAAACGGTTACCGGTATGGACCCGTTTATTTTCATATGGGCGCCAAATGGTTTTTTTCAGTAGGGAGGCCTACGTGAGCACATTTGTTCTACGTGTTTCCTCCATGTTATAAATAGGTTTATGAGTTTCGGAACGTCTTAAATAAGTTTAAGATAACCAACCTACCAGACGATCCCCGTTTAGGGCTAGCGCATAATTTCCCTATTCGAATGGCACGTTCAAACGTGTGGTCACGTGCAAGGTCGAACGGGCACCTGTATCAAATGGGTACCGTTCCGAGCGGGTACCGTTTCAAACGGCTACCCGTATCCCATAATCACGTTTGATCCAAACGGGTCGACAAGTTTGCACCCGTTTGATTTACCAGTTTGCCACCCGTTTGAATTTCAAATGGTTTTTTTCAGGAGGGAATTCAGCGTTACAAGCCCAGCCTTAGCGGTTCAAACCCGCTCACTGGAAACATTCTTGCAGAAATCCAAGAATATATCTGAAGACATTACTTGTAAAGGCTCTGAAATATTTCCGCCGTCTCCTGGGACATCAGATTCTTCTGGTACAGGTCCTGAAACGTGTTTATCTTGACCCCACCGCAGAACTCAACGTAGTCCGTGTAGCCTCTGACTCCCTGGTCCCGTCCCCGCTGAACGTCGATGGAGAATATGTCAAGGCCGAAATTCATTCCTTGTTTCTTGAAGAAGTACTCGTTCATGTCGGCGCTTCCAAACCTGTGGTGAGTGGCAATGTCAACAATTAAGTCAAATGAATAATCGTGAAGCTGGGGAAAACCCCGTTTTTGTAGTCAAACATAATTAGCAGGTGCCATCACAACAACAAAAAGCAAACAACCAAAAAAGAAAACAAGACTATAATCGCAGTTTATGGGATTACTTTACTAGTGAACTTGAAAATTGACATTCTAAAAGTTCATAATCATCTGCGGGCGTTTCACTAAAGAGTGTACTCGTGTTTGGTTTTTTTCTTAGCAATTAAAGTTTAAATCTTATTTTTGCGTTGTTTACGATCCAGCCTGATAGCAACTGTTAATGTCCTTTAATTACATTGACGGCTCTAGCTTTTGGTTAGCTCACTTGTTAAAGTGGATAAGTCCCGGAATCGATATTCGGGTCAGGCAAATTGTTTCAGCGACCGCTAGTCGCCTAGAGGACGCGAAGGGCGGAACCTCGGGAGAATGTAAGTTTATTCTTGCGTTTCTATGTCTCTTCGTATTTTCGAATTCGTGATTTGTTTGCATTCTTCCGCTATTCGTAGCCCATTCAAGCTTCGTGTTCAGCAGGAAAATAAACGAACAGACTTGCTATGCAGTACAAGCTAATATTTTGGTTCTGTCATGCCGTGAATCGACTACCACTCATAGCACTGTGCACGACCCTTGTTGGGGTTCCCCAGTGCAGGTTTTTCGCGCATAGAAATGCGGAATTGGAAGGATCCTGATCATATGTTGAAAACTATAGGCAAAATGAAGATGAACATTTTTCAACCCTAATCCTTGATACGGCAGGAGTTAGTGAAGACGTCAAAATATATTCGCGAAATAAGCAAATTGTAGGTGTTATTGGGCTACTTGCCTATCGAAGGTAGCCATGGGGGTCAGTAGCATGCCACGCATTATGTCGTCCAAGCCGTTCTGGTACAAGTCAAACGGCCGTAAGTACCAGTCTCTTAGTTGACCGACTTGCTGTTTGTTGTCTGCGCCTACTCTGAAATAATACGTCAAAGCTCAATTCGTATGAAATGCACCATTGGAGGCATTGTAGCGCTTGCTAGAAATAGAAACGGCAACAAAACTGTACTAGGCAGGCCGCAGAAAACTTAAATAGGGAAGAAAAACATTTATATTGTTTTATATTTGCGACTACCCAAGGGCTATATAAAAAAAAAAACAGTTTGAGTTATCTCCACAAGAATGCAATTCATGATCTGTCTTTAATAGCGTTAAACAACGAGATATGCTTTAGTCGCCGTTTGCTGATATCGCAAAATGGTGTGAGCGTCTTTTTGACACTGAGACTTAATGACCTTCTGTAAAAAAAATACAAAAAACGATTGTCGTAAAAACAAAAGGAGCATTAGATAACCGGAGAGGTTTACGACTGTATATATATATTTTTTTAAACTAGCTCGATCGTTTCGGATAATGTTCTAGAAGCAATACACTCGACGAGCTTCACACGTTTCACACAAGTATTAACGAAACCGCAGCAAGCATCAATATTATTAATTTTCCGGGTATATCGTAGTTGAAAGGCTCTGGTATCTCGCCCGGGACCAACCGGAGAAAGTTGCCGCTGACGAGAGAGTGTCCCATCCTGAAGGCCGACGAAGAGAACTCGTCAATCATGGTGGCATCCACGGCGCTGTCGTACGTCGTGAATCCTGACTGCAGCGGCACCAAATCATAGTTTTCGACTGCGTCACGGCCTGCGAACGTTGGCAGCCATTCTCCGTAGACCACTTGTTGAATCTGGGACTCCACGATGCGCCTGTGGCAGAGTACGGTCCGTTGAATGCGTGCCAGCAGGGAAATCTGAGCAGCGCCTTTGACTGTCGACACTAAAAATAGGGACGTGCAGCCTGCCATCTTTCATTTCGAAAACCACGCGCGATTGGGGACACAGCGCACACAATGGTCACTGAGAGTTTAATAAACACAGAAGCGCAGAAACAGGTCTCGATCAGTGTCTGCAAACTGTCTTTTGGATGGTGTATTAGCCATGTGACCGCAGCTTGAAGCTCATCTTTCACCAACGCAACAATCTACCGCTGTAAATCGCAACTCCCCTTGTGCGGCCGTTTGCAATTTTGTTTTCAAATGTCAAACGGATTGTGGGGTGCCATCTGCGTGAGACAACGCCTCTGAGATGAAGATCAAATGCGCGATGGCCTGCGTGTAGCTGTAAAACAGATGTATAGAATGAGCACAAAGTTATTTATCTTACTTTGCAACTTGAAACAACATTTCGTCATTCCATCGTCTGTTTATAGACCGCAACATTTTTGCAATTCGGTTGTGTTGACGCAGGAATAGGGTGTGTATCACAGTGAGTCCTGGAGTAAAGTTAACTCGGCCATCACCTGAAAATAGATGTTAAATAGTGGCAAAATACAACAAGCGCGAGTGTGCGGAGTCAAATTCAGTCACTACATTAAGGGGGACAGAATTGTGCACGTTTATTATAGCGCTTTTTCAAGTTTTTCCGCGCTCAAGTAACACAAATTCACGAAAGACGTATGAAAACCAAAAGTTTCTAAACTGGAGAATAGAAAACGGCAGCGGTCACATTCAATTCAATACATTGGTAATTGTATGCTTGAGTGCTCATACCAAGATTGCCCGCTAGATATAAAAGCAAAAAAAAATGCAATAAAAATTAAAAAAAATGAGGGAGACCGAATTTGCAAAAAACACAATGTTCAATCAGCGAATCGAGATACGTACGCGTTTATTAAGTATAAACCTCCCACGGGGACCCGTGATCCTAATACCAGGCTCTTTAGGTAGTTCGCTCTCGTCAGACGAGCGGACAACGGCAAATTACTACCCCATCCATGCGGTCTCGTTCCTCAACTTATACTCGTAGTAATCAGCTTGACACGTTTCATAAAAAAGCGCAAGTACAACCGACTCGATTGATAGCGTTCCCAATATGTTGCTGCACAAACGCACTTGCTCCGCGAGAAAATGGCTCCCAGAAAGTAACCAATTAAGAAAGAGTTATATTTCGACCGTGGTAATAATGCGTCTTACCAGATGTGAAGCAAATTTGGTTTTCGCTCGGTACGCTGCACCCGTCTCCCTCGGGTTTTGAACTCGGCTGTAGAAGTTCTTCTCCATTCTTTATACGGGAGCGTAAAAGCCCTAAATAAAACGCGAGCGAAAAAAAAAAAAACTCATTGAACGATTGCAAAATGAGACAAGTCAAGGTGACTCAATCGCGTGATATTATACTTATTTTTGCTTTACATACAACCGTCACCCACACTACGATAGAGGCAATGGGGCAGCGCTGTGCAACGGCGCGGCCCTCGTCGCCTTTGTTCCTTTGGTTTTCCCGGCTAAATGAGTCACTCGCAGTAAATGACCGATGACAGAGCGCTATTTTTTATGCCCGTGATTGGTTTGGAACGAGCGCCGTAACGATGCAGTGTTGCTGCTTCTCTAATTGCTCCATCGTCGGCAGCCGTCGTCGGACTGAAAACGGTTTTGAGCCTCTATTCACAAAGGTAGAAGCATTAATAGCGTCGCCGTGTCTTGGATGACACCGAAAACTAAATCCCGTTTAACAGATTTCACAAAATCTATTGTCAGAATATGCATGAATTGAAATAGAGATCATTAATTGGTTATTGATCATTATTTCTTAATAATTATAAGTGATAATTAATCATTATAATAAATAAAACGTTTTCCTCTTTCATGTTCGTTACGATGTTAACTCCAGCAGATATACCTGGTTGGCGTCTCCATGCGGAGCGCATGTTTGACTGCTTCTTTTACGGTGGTCGTGATGACGTCAGAACAAAGTCGAGCTCTCGCTGGCTCTGATTGAATGATAGTGGGTACACCTCGCAACAGCTTGCTTTCAGGTCTACTCACTGTCCTTCTATCAGGGCCAATCAGAGCTCCGCGTCTTTCTGACGTCACCAACACCCCGCCAAAGAAGCTAACGAACTAGCGCTCTGCGTAGATCTTTCCGAAATTCGTTTTCTGCGCGCTGCCATTTTGTTTGCTGGTCTGTGGAACACCTTCTGAGCATGCGCTGTTGCTTTGTTGTGCAGTACATTGGACTCTGCGCATGCGTCCACGGCTCAGTGACTCAGCCGTTTTCGCCCGGGTGATAAGCGCCGGAAAAGTCCATCAATTAAATATCAGCTCATCGCTGGAACATGATTGATGTGTTCGTTGGTTTGCAATCAATGTACCCAAACCTTCATTTTGGTCCCATTTTCCCGCGTACAGACCAATTCCACCCTCTCACGTCACGCAATTATTGTGGCGCTGCTTTTGGCACTGCGCAGAGAAAAAAAACATAAGTATATATTAAGGTTTTCTTTTGAGCGCATTTTGTGTGCTGCGTCGCCCAGGCACCCAGGTAGATCTCATAGCTGCGATCATCTTTCAGGCGATGCGAACTGTCTTTAGAAGGTTGATTGCTAATATTATAAATACAAAACAGAATGCGATCAATTGAATTTCACCGTGTTCTGACTCGGAGAGATATTGTGCAAAGTTAAGCGAACTGCTTAATTTATAAAATAATATAGACGCCTTTTTTTAGTCAAGTTTGATTTTATAATTTATCATCAACATGCGGATTTAGGGTCTGACGTGATTCCAAATTTTTCGGATGCAGTTGTGATATGGATACAAAGTATACGGATATGAACGGGACGCGGATGCAATGGAGAGTTTGAGGGAACCGTTTTTGCACATCCGAGACAGTACGACGGGCCCACGAACTGCGCATCTGCTACCGGATAAGACCCACGCATGCCCAGTCTCAACCGGGGGGCTCATCATACGTATCTGATGTGCAAAGAGGGTTCCCTAAAACTCTTCAATACTTAAAGAGAATTGCGGGGATGCGGTTAGGGTGCATGATTCAAAGGCCGCAGATGCGGATCAAATGCGGATGGTCAAACTGTTTTCGGTGCTAGGCTCTACTAGAGACCGCCTTGCGGAGGCTGCTCCTTTCGATTGTATCTAAAAATTATCGCTCGTTGTCATCTTTATAGATCAAGATACAGTTTGCCAGGCCTTAGAAACGACATTTCGTGTTTCGTGTATATAAACATGGCTGTGGGGCAGTCAACACTACTTCATTACTGGCGTTATGAGTGCTCCGTGGTCTGTGCATTTTTGATATCTGTGTACGTTCACGAGGTAAGTGCCGAGTACATGTATCCATGGGTGCATTGAGACCAACGTAAAATTAACGTTCATGATTTGTTTTTTCATATACTGCCCTATTGTTTTTAGAAAGGCGATAGAAACGTTGCTTGAAAGTTAATTGTTTTTTTCTATACAATTTCTAAACAATCTTTATACATCATGCTGTGTAGAGAATCTACAGAAAAAAAGACCAAAAGTTATAGACAGTCGATACACTTTATTTCGAATACTTATAACGTCAAAACGATATTTTAGATACACATTTTGTTAGAAATAGGATACCTAGTCTTCCAAGGAACTTCATTTGGGGCGAATCTGATTTCCGTGCACGTGTAATGCCCACACCAGGTACCGTGGGCTTGTCTGTAAACCGCGTGTTAGTGAATTTGGAATTTAACGTACCATGTCGAAAGGTGCGAAGGGTATCCGTCTCCGTCTTTCTAACGCCGTAAACCTGCGATGCGTCCAGGTATGACGTCTTGTCGTTTACTTGCACCCTGTAACCTAGAAGTAAAGTGGACTATGGTTACTGGTGCGGAGCAGAACGTCCCACAAGTTTGCTCCACAACTCTGCTATGCATAGTCGTCATCTTGAACAGATACGCGCTGCCACGGGGATAGTTTATTTATACCATTCGTTTCTTTCTTCTTAACTTTGCCATCTTGTTCCCACGCGTGCAACACGAGGTTAACGTCGACCAGCGTCGCACAGCTTCGTTCCCGCACAGACCTACGATGGCTTGACTCTGTGCCCTTTGGAAATAAATAGTCACTGATATCCTCAGAAGAGATTACGGCATTAGTAAATAAAAACGCGGAAGAATGAATCAAAAAGCCATAAGCGAGAATGTATTATCCAACCTTTCTTGAGCTGTGACTAGCTGTATCATTCGAAAACCACGTTTTTCTTGACTGATGACGTGCGCTGAAGGAGATCGTGCAACGTTAACCAAAGCCAACCTTGATTTGAACTTGAGATAACTTGACAGCGAAGGTAAAAAGAAAGCGCGGACGCTCGCTAGTGTTTCGTTGAGGTTAAATAAGAAACTCCTTATGGGGGTTCTCTCGGTGATTCAGAGCAAGGGTCGTTGTCTTTTTTGTCTGCCGACATATACACATAGACAGGAGGTTCGCCTATCGTATGTTCCCTTTTAATCTCACCGAGTTTGCACAGGAAGCATGGTGTCGCCCGCAAGAGGGGCATACAGGTCCTGTTTTTGTCTCCATAGAAAGGGTCGTCGGCCTCAACGTCCATAGGGAGGCACTCAGGAAACGTTCGCTGCGGAGAGTTGCAGCAGCTTACTGCGGCATTCGGTCCTGCGAAAGATGACAAGGCTTGCATCGGTAGAGCGAACTAGCGATTTTTCACCATTGCTCGACACTTGGCTGGTTCACAGAATGGCGTCTGACTGCGACCGTGTGCTCTGTGCAGCCCTGTGCTTCATAGTGACATCTTACGACGAGAACACGCCATCGAGTTATTATAATATACGCTAGAGGTTCAAGTGGCACTAGTGTGCTGACGCAAATTGAAGCAGACAGCAACCAGTCGAAAATTGACTTCCGGTAATGCATTTCTATGGAAAAAAGTGGGCGCATTTTCTCCCTGCGCTCGATCACAAGAGCAAATAGCCCGAATAATTCGTACGTACTGAGTAGCTTGGAACATTTCTCAGTCAGGCCGACGAGATAATTGGTCAGTTACGGCGTTTTTCTTTCAAATTAGTCGGATTAAAAACGGTGCTAAAACGGCTATGTACGTGTATTTATGTGCACTATCAGACACTGTTATACTTCGTTTCAGCTTCGGTCCAGACGAAGCCGATGCTACAAGCGCGAGCATGTGGCCCAGAACAGTGCTTGCACTGCACGAGCGCGCGTGCTTGGCAGGGATTCTGAAAGCCCGGAGCTCACGCTTGTAGCTTTGGCTGCGTTTGAACCGAAGCTGAAACGAAGACGTCGGCGCTTTTCAGCATAAGGGATATACGTGCCAGACGAACGAAGAACATCTGGAAATAAAGGGAGATGGACGGCAAGAACTACGAAGTTACACTGGATCAGTAACTACCCGTGCATGTACGATCAAAATAAATTGAAGGTCACGTAATATATTCCGATTTTAAATAAGCAAGTACCGCTTTATTCTTTCTGCTCTGTGCGAAGATGTTTGTTCGTACGTTCAAGATATCACCCGCACGCTCGAAATCTTTGAGAACAACTGCCCGATAAAAGCTGCCCGGCAGAGAAAACAATACCAAGAGACACCTTTCATACCCCACTTACTTTATTACCTACGTTTTGAATGTTCTTATCCGCTCATGCACGACGGGGTCATTTTCATATAGTGACAGGACTGGCATTATCAATATATATAAGCGTCACCGGAATGCTGGCGAGCGTTGAACACACTCCAGATTGCTTTTGATTGTAATTTTGCTTTGAATCGTCGCTTGTTGTTACACACCTGCTGCGGAACACACGTTTGGGACTGAAATGTAGCGAAGTTAAACATCGCTCACTGATGAAGAAAAATGCGTTAACTAAAGCAATTACACTTTCACAATGCTAATTAAGACACATAATATTCGATACGACCGAAATAACCGAAGTGTTCCGTGTTATTTTTCGGCGAAGGGACAAAATGCACGCGCGTTTTCCCATAGGAATGCACAGGAGCACCGCAAAAGTAGACAGGTTGCTGTCTGCTTCAATTTGCGTCACGGAAGTCGCATAGAGCGTAGCGCCAGTCGAACCTCTAGCGTACATTATATGGAACTCTATGGAACTCGCACCGGCACGCTGGCGCCATCTGTGAGGTGTCATATTAACTATTAACTAGACTGAAGGTTGTTCTATTATTTTCCAGATGAAATGTACGTATACAACCTAGAAAAAATGCTCGTTTATAACATTGTCAAAAATGTTAATGCTCATAATAAAAGACATTATTAGCGAAAGAAATAGGAGATATACTAAATTGCAAATGTTCTATGGCTACTTGATAGATGGCGCGAGTGTGTTCTATCCTTTCAAGAAATCACAAGACTACACAACAAACCCGGGTGCAAAAGACCGCAAGTGTGTGAACCGGATTTTGAGCTTCTGATTGTACACACCCGCGGCTGAAACCTGAAGGAATGTGCTAATTCGAGTTAGAGCCGCATGTGCTCGTATCATAATATAAACAAACAAAAAAGTCATTGATGGTGTACTGAAATTACGGAGGCTTGATATTGAACAACGAAAGACTGGTCATAAAAATTTTCGCCTATTAAGGACTGGTTAAGTCCTCGGCATGTCATGAAAAAATAGCGCAATTGAAGTGTCACACATATTAGCTCTCCTTCTCCTGTCATCGCACGTCTTGTGAAGAAATCCCAGGGTAAATGTAACCATGTGCCAATTAACTCAAATTTCGCGGTGAAAAGATAACGGTTATTTGTATTGTTCGCCATCCGGTTCCTTCTTTCTAAACTAAAAGCAAAGTTATCAACGTAAAAATATTACAAAGCTAATGAAAATTTTTTTTCAATTCGTTCGTGGGAAACATTCATGGCACGTTTAAAAATATAGAAGTGAACATGATTGAAATAAAGAACCTATTGTGTTTAAGAAAATATGCGTAGTATATTGGATATTTACCAATTGGCCGTATCCTTAACCACACGACTCTAAGTGGGTATTTTCTTCAAAGTCTAATGACTCACTAAATGCCTCGTCTCGCCTATAAAAGAATTGTATGACATGAAGACGTCTTACTCCGAGAGAAGATTGAACCCCATAGCAACAGCGTACTTTCAGTTAGGACCGTAATCAAGAAGACAACAGCTACCAGGAGGTTTATTTCAAGTTGCCCTCGTTATCTCCTTACAGCGCGGGATCTGTTCCGCAGTTGAGTAAATACCTATCGAAACAGAATGCATCTTCAATCCGTTTCATTTTAAGTCCAACCGGCACTACGATCTAATGTGGCCAAGCAAACAGCACCAAAAGTGTGTCGCCTTGGCGCTCGTCATCTTCTTTGTGTGCTTGTTATCGTCGACTAAACCCAATCACGCATACCGAATGACCGATGACTCAGCGCTTCCGTGCGTGGTCCGCTGCTAGCGAACTCAGCGAAAAATCAAGGGCAGCTTGATGTTTCGCTGCTGAATTTGCTCTGTGAGATTGTACCGCAGGCTGTAGTTAGACTTAAAATGAGGCGAAGTATATGGGAAGCTCAGTCGGATGTCCGGTTCAGTTCTACAGTCAGAGACGGCGGGAGTAGAAAAAAAAGACTAATCGGAGAATAAAAATTCCGAGGACACCTAAGCACTCATGAGCTGTGAAAGCATGAATGTCGTTCTTTTGCTCCCTTAGTCCGTCTGTGGCATACTGGAGTGGACTGCCACGTTTCGCTACTGTCGAGGTAGTGGCCTACGGCCGAGCGCGCGCTCTCGGGAAGTGGCCGCGCCACGCTGAGCTCGGCTGCGCAGCCTCTCCGGAGTTTGTCCGCACGGGCTCTCCTTCCAGGCGCTCCCTCTTGCCGGCGGCCGGGCCGCTGCGTGCGCTGCGCCGCCATAGAGAGGGCTTCTCTGGTGGCGTTCCTTGGAACTACGCCGTGTGAGAGCCAATGGGAGCCTCGTTCCTGGAAACTATGACGCGCGCCAACCAATGGGAGCGTCTCCATCAGATTTCTTCTACAGAAGGCAGGCTTCGGTTGGGACAGGGGAAAGTGCCGTTTGGTGCGGCTTCAAAAGCTGATGATGTCGGTTCGCTCCATGGGCGAGTCAATGCTTTCTATTTAAAACAGACATTTCGTTGGTGTGTCGTCCTTTGCTTACCTGCAGTCTCGGGGTTGTGCTATGTCTAATATAACGCTCCTTGCAAGATTATAATTTACCCAGATTCGGCTGCCACGGCTTCCCGATGTCGTTGACGGCTGTAGGTGTTCCGGACCGCAGTATCTGGCTGACGTCGTGGGTGATGAACTGTCCGAAGAGGACTCCCAGCTGGGTCATCTTCGGGCTGGAGGCTTCTAGTGGCGGATGCACCGTGTAGGACACCACTCGTGGCGGCGGCAGGGGCCCTCCGTCGCTCGCCACTCTTGGTTCACCCACCACTGTGCAAGGGCGTCGGCGTGTGCGCGCAGGAAATTCCATTACAGTCGTCAAACGATGCACCATCTCTCTGACGGCACGACACAAAGGTGGCGCTGCTTTCGGCACTGCACGTGAGCAGATGCCTTCTCTCACGCGAATCTACTTTTTAAGCACGCGCAGTGCCCGCACCTGGCGACGCGAGCTTGTCAGGAAACAACGTGTACAGTTACCGACAGCTTAAGAGACGTAGGGTCCGGTGATTGGCAGAACCCCGAACGCTCATTGCGTTCAGTCTTCTGGCCCCGTGATTGGTTCTTCGGTGTTAATGCTGCAATCTCATTGGTCCCGGAGCAATAACAAGAAGCTTGGTACTCGCCACGCCCAGCGTTTCTTGAACTCTCAGTGACCATATTCTGGAGCGCGTTTCCGACTGGTGTGTGTAGCGTTCTATCCCTCCTATGCATCCAAAGTGGTCCCAAAGTGGCAACGAATGACGCTACAGAAAACGGAGTGTCCTGGTTTCGAATGTCGCGATTCTCGTGGTTGGTCGTAGGAATGCTGGCGAAAAGCACGAGCGAACACGAGTGTCGCTCTAGCCGCAGCGTTACAACTTTTGGTTGCAGAAGCTTCCGTGAATGGTCACACTGGAGAGCGACCCGCAGCAGAACAGGCGTCTGCTGCATCCAGCACTGCTGTTTGCAACCGCCAGGATCGCGACCGCCGACAGCATGAGGCTTCTATTACGTCATCAGGCAGAAATCCAGGGAGCACGGTTTTTCCCGCTATAAACACGCTAGTCGCAGACGCGTTCCAATACCATAACCATACTAGGCTCATCGCTCTACTATCCTCCGACGGCACTACAAACTCTGCCAAAGGCAAACAGCTCTCTGTTTGTCACTGACGGAGCATCTAAAAGGAGTAAATTAACCAAGTCGGAGCTACTTACGCTAAGCAAATAACTAAAGCCTTCCTGAAAGTGTAACATAATAAAAATGCTCGTAAAATTCACCCTTAAAAAAGTAATTCAATTACGCTACCATGCAATGAGGCCTCAGTCAAGGAATGAATCTATTCACCTATTAGGGAAAAAAATGCTATTACATCAAGTTAATTGAAGACGGGTAGACTTAAAAAAAGAATAGCGAAGTAATTATATGATTTTTAAAATGTAATACAAAATTCTAAAGATGACTTGGTCGACAGTAAAGTGGTAACTGTAACTACTTGTAATTCCATATATGTTTACCCAATTATTGTTGCTCACTTACATAGCTGCATAGTTTCTTCTTTCGATAGAACGCTTCTAGGAACAGAAGAATGGCCTCGCCCATTTTAAGAGTGTTGGAAAAAAAAAAAAACTGAAAAACAAAAGTTTGATGTAGCCTTTCAGAAGAGAGGTTCCCAGAAAATCTCTCATCGCATGTCTTTGCGCATTTTTTACAGCTCAGAAGTGTAGCCTTACTGTCACCGTAGTCAGGTCTCAGAAGCTTGCGCATGCAGGAGCCCGCGTTTCCCCAGTCCGTGTGGTTCTGGTTGTTGCAGCTCCCGTCCGGATATCTGAACGGGTAGCTGAAGTCGCAGCCAGTTGGAGCGGGATTGCAGAGCTGCGTTAAGTCTGTTCCTTCCAGGACAATCTCGCTCAAAGCGTCAACCGCTTTTGCCGTTCTTTCAGACTTCGGGAAGCTAAGAAAAAATTCATTCAAATGGGAAATATTAAACGGTTTTGGGGGGATGTATCAAATGGCTGGTATCTTACGCACAGTTTTGATTTTTGCGGAGCCATCATAACAAACCCAAAAGCGAGGGCGTACTGACAAAAGCAAATTCACGTATACTGAATATTTCATTAAATACCCTCGGTAAGAAGCAATACGAATTAAGTTTACTAATCTTCTCCTTTTACAAAAAAAAAGAAAATTTACGCTCGAAATATTTTTAGCATACTTACATTAAGGTATGTAGCAGTATACTTCTAGGACGTTTTTAGTCCACTTCGGAATTTAGCTCTGTAGTCCAAGCTTCGAAACCGTCGGGCAACAAAGTTATTAATACTAAAAGTTTGTTTAATACAACTTAAGTGCACTAAGATATATATCAAAGATATCTTGCGAAGTGTTTCATGAGAGCACAACATCAGTGTAATTTTAGTGTATTCCATTTTACCTAGTTTAAGCTTATCCAGCTATGCCCAGGACACTTCGATGATATTCTTCTTAGGGTGGTGTCACTTATTGCATCGCCTAACTGTGACAGTGTGCGAGCATACCAAGAATAAAAGGCTCGAAGTACACCCAAGCACTTCTTATGAGTTGTGAATGCGGAAGCATGCGTGCCGCTGTTCGACTCCCTCAAGGCCTGTACGCACATTCGCGTTTGAACGCGTTTGAGTGCGTTGCGGAGTCCTTGCGGCCACTTGCGCAAAGACTCCTTAAGGCCACGCGCGCCTTCCCGCAACGCTCGGTAGCGCGACGCAAGGGAGTAGAGACTCGCTCAACTTTCCGAAGCGTTGCGGTACGTTCGGGTGCGTTCGACCAATCAGAAGCCGAAAGAGGAGAGGGGTTGACGTGTCCGCTCGCCCACCCGGCCGACTCGGCGAGACGTATCCGGTTCGCCGGTCGCAGTGCTTGCTTTATCTGTTTGGGGAGCGGTGTCGACTGGTTTTTCCAAGACTGCGATGTTCAAGTTCGACAAAATGTCGGGGAAGGCAGCGGGATTGTCCAGAGATCGAACGCTTTGGCGCTGTCGCTGAATGCCGCCATGTTGCCGTGGATTTGGTTTACTATTGGTGAGCCGCTAGCTACGATAGCGCGTTCTCATTGGATCTTGACTGCGGTTGACTGTGTGTTAGCGCAACTCTGTGTACAGGCTTGGCGCAAACGCTCTTCGGAACGCAACGCGTCTGCTTGCCGCTACGGAACGCACTGCGCTCAAACGCAGATGTGTGTATGAACCTTTATTCCGTCTGCGACGTACTTGCGTCGACGGTCGAGCGCGCGATAGCTCTCCTCGGCGCGCTGACTTTGGACGTGGAGCGGTGGAGCTGCTGCCTCGTGGACTCGCAGCGCCATGGGGTGGCGGTCGTTGAAAGTGAAAAGCAGCTGCCAATGGGAGCCTCGTTTCTTGAAACTGACGCGCGCCAGCCAATGGGACCGAAGCCGAAATCTATCAGCTCACTCCACTCCTTGGGGATAGGAGAAACTAGGAGCCGTTTGGCTTGACTTTTCGCGTGGTTTCAAAGCTGGGGGCCGGCATCACTTCGAGAAAGGAGTTAAGGTGCCGTTTGGTGCGGCTTCAAAGCTGATGACGTCGGCTCGCTTCATGGTACAGCTAATGTTTTCGCATTAATAAAGCAACATCAAAGCTGGCTCGTGGCTAATGAACTCAGTTTGACACCATAACTATTGGCTTCACCACCATGTTTGAAAATAGTTCCGACGTTTTCTACGAGTGATTTCTCACTAGTGTACTGTCCACTGCCTGGCACTTACCTATCCCCTAATGACGTATGCATGAGATATATTTATACTCCTTTATCATTACAATAAATAGAGAAGAGTCATACAGGCAATGGAAGCCATATCAATAATGTGTGAGTGTCTGGCGACCTTCGAGAGGCGGGCTGCTCTATGCAAGGCGCGTTGTCACATGGCACGTTCACAGCGTTGGTCATACTGGAATTACTTGTTTCGTTCGTTGCGGTCCATCTTAAGGTGAAACAAAATATGTGTGAGGGATTTCTGAACGCAAGAAAGATAAAGTTCGGTGGGAGCTGAGCGAGCGCGCTGGGCAAGTTGCGTCACTGATTGGATACGACAATTCCGTTATGGCTGCCTGGTCCCAAAATAAGAAATTATATAAAATCTTAAAATGAATGCGAGACGTCTTGGGAGCCGTGAAATTTGTAAAAAGTTGGCTTACAAAAAAAATCATCTGCTGTTTTGGGGGGTCACATTTTTTTTTTTTAATTTTTTGTTGGGTTAGTTGTAGTTGGTTCATGACGGGAAGGAAGCGCCGATGGTCAAGGACAAAAGTGAAGGAGGTAACAACAACACGGAAAGGTAAAGACGCAAAGAACTGGCGCTAATCTCCGTTTTATACTGAGTGCGAGCGCACCGACGCAAAGGTTAAAGGGAGCGAACTAAGCGACGAGTACGTCTCAACGGCGCTTATGCTCATTGGGTGTTTGCCGGTTAAACCAATTAAAGATAGTGAATGCGCCGTTATCGTCCACTTTCCCTGAGCGTCACTCTTTTAGCCTGCGATAGCAAACGCACAAGACAAAGTGCTCCGTGAAGATGCCCTAATAATGCTGCTTGACCGGCTACATGGTGGCGTCCGCTGTTCTCGAACTTTCTAGGAAATGAAGTGGCCTTAGTTAAGGCACATTTCGATACCTGAGCAATAGTTGTCGACTCGTCTCGAGGAAGAGTTCAGCCAGGCGTTCCTGGCGGTCTGGCACTTGGCTGCTCTCCATTTCCGCTGCCCGCGAATAAGCATAGGGACAGCCGGCCGACCTTGTCCGCCGCATTCCTGAGTACAGGGTTTGCCAAGTAACCAAATCAATGCACAGCGGGGTCTTACCAACCACTGAGTAAAGTTGGTTCTACAAAAGCAACCTTAATATCCGCTGTGCCGATGGCGTGGAGCCAGGACATGTGCGATTGCTGCTCTGCTATGTTCTTCGGCATGCCGACAACAATTTTTACACCGTGCGTCTTTGAAAGGCTTGTCTATGTCCTATCTTGACCCAGCAACCACGGTCTCAGACATCGCAATTATCGCAGTAACCGTCCTCGGGAAGAAATCATTGGTGTGCACGTTACGAAAGGTGCTCTGTCGTCCAATCTACAAATTGTTTCATCTCGCAGTTGATGAGGAATCGTTGGCAACGTCGAACAGTTTCGGTGTGTGGCCAGATGCCTCCCTTGTTCGTCCTTTTTTGGGGAGGCC